CTGCTGCTGCTGCTGCTGCTGCTGCTGCTGCTGCTGCTGCTGCTGCTGCTGCTGCTGCTGCTGCTGCTGCTGCTGCTGCTGCTGGTTGTGGTGGTGGTGTCTCAGCTGCTTCGTTTTGCTGCTGCTGCTTGTGGTGGTGGTGTTTCAGCTGCTTTGTTTCACTCCTGCTGCTGCTTTGGTTTGCTGCTGCTGCTGCTGTTTCAGCTGCTTCGTTTCGCCGTTGCTGCTGCTGTTTTGGTTTTCTGCTGCTGCTTTTGCTTCTGGAGAACTTGACGGATCGCTCTGGGCGGCGCGTAGCGTGCTGCAGCCTGTGCTGCTGCTGCTGTTCGGTCTGCTGCTGCCGCTCATCTTGCTGCTGCTCCGGCTGCTGCTGCTGCTGCTGCTGTTCCTTCTACTGCTGCTATTGCTTCTTTTGCTACTGTTTCACCGGCGCGTCTGGGGATCCCTTGCTGCGCCGCTGCGTGCATGCGCTGCTGCCACTGAGGTGACTCTTGCTGCTGCTGCTGCTGCTGCTGCTGCTGCTGCTGCTGCTGCAGGCTAAATGATGGGCTGCTGCGGGCTCACTGGCGGTCAGTGCTGGTGGCCCTGGTGGTGCGCATTTGGTGCTGCTGCCTCTTCTTCACTTTTCCAGGTTCTGTCTCTCACCCTGCCAGCGTCGGAGGGGTGAGGCACTTGCTGCTGCTGTTGCTGCTGCTGTTGCTGCTGTTGCTGCTGCTGCTGCTGCTGGCGTTGTTGTTTGTATTGTTGTTGCTCCTGCTGAGGGATTTGCTGCCTTTGTTTGCTGCGGGTGTCGTGGCCAGTTGAGATTGCTGCGGGTGCTGCTGCTGCTGCTGCTCCTGCTGAGTGTTTTGCTGCCTTTGGTTGCTGCGGGTCTCGCAGTGGTTCTGCTGCTGCTGCTGCTGCTGCTGCTGCTGCATGCCTCCTTCACCCCTACTGCAGCTCCCACTCCCAATTCGCCGCCGCTGCTGCCGCTGCTGCTGCTGCCGCTGCTGCTGCTGCCGCTGCTGCTGCTGCTGCTGCTGCTGCTGCGCAGGGCATGGAGGAGCTGCGAGGGGTGCCGTGGTACGGGGTGTGTTCGGGGGCGAGTTTGGTGTTTTTGGCGGACATAATTTTGACTTTGGTTTATTTGGCTTTTTCGCAAGTCATTCGGCTGTTGGCCCTCAAACGCATGGAAGACAAAGCCATGTTCAGAGACCTCGCAGACATCGCCTTCAGACTCAAAGGTCCAGCCCACCGCCGCGCAGCTAGCCAGCCAGCTAGCTAGCTAGCTAGCTAGCTAGATAGCGTAGCAGCAGCAGCAGCTAGCCGCTAACCACCCACTGCCGCTGCGCTATCTAGCTTCCCCTCTAAACACTAGCCAGCAGCAGCAGCAGCAGCGGCAGCAGCAGCAGCGGCAGCAGCAGCAGCGGCTGCTTCTGCTGCTGCTGCTGCTGGCTAGTGTTTAGAGTGGTAGCTAGATAGCGCAGCAGCAGTGGGTGGTTAGCGGCTAGCTAGTGCAGCAGCAGCTTGTAGCTGGCAGCTAGCTGGCTAGCTAGTTTCTGGGCAGCAGCTAGACAAGCAGCAGGGCACAGGCGTAATTTGTAGCTAGCCATGTGCACGTAGACACTCCGGCTAGCTACCTGCATGCTTAGCTAGCTAGCTAGCTAGCTATCTAGCTACCTGGCTGGCTAGCTAGCTGCTTGGCTAGCCAGGTTGCGGGCAGATAGTTCACGGGGCACAGTGCAGCTAGCTAGCTAGCTAGCTAGCTAGCTACAGAGTCTAGGAGCTGCTGCTGCGAAGTGCACAAAACCCAATCAATGGTTTGTGTCCCCTGGAGAGTCCGCGAGGAGGCAGCGAGTTAGCTGTGCAGCTAGCCAGCTAGCTAGCTAGCTATATTCGCACCTAGCTAGCTTGCCTTGTAGCCAGCTAAGCAGCTAGCTAGCTAGCCAGCTAGCAACGTAGCTAGTCCGGTAGCCCCACAACCTTCCTGCTCTTGTCCTCTGCATTGTTTGTGTCACCGTTTAAATATCTGCTGCTGCTGCTGCTGCTGCTGCTGCTGTTGCTGCTGCTGCAGAAGACCGGCTGCGCGTGTGTCTCGGGCTGCGCAAGTCGCCGCAGGTGGAGGCGCAGCAGTTGGGGCTGGAAGTGCATGCAGTGGTAGACAGATATAACAGACACTGTTTCTTCACTTACCCAGGAGAGCTTTTGCCTCCTTTCTTTTGACTCAAACTTTTCTTTCTAAACCCTAAACCCTGAATTCCCGAGGCCCTTTTGAGGGCCTCCAGCTCAAGGGGAATTAAGGGAACCCTTACACTCCGGGGGGCCCCCTCTGGGGCCCGGGGGGCCCCCTCTAGAGCCCGGGGGCGCCCTTCCAGAGCCCGGGGGGCCCCCTCTAGAGGTTTGGGGGGCCCCTCGAGATTTTTTGGGGCCCCCTGTGAAGCCCGGGGGCCCCCTTTAAAACCGGGGGGGCCCCTTCAAGAGCCCGGGGGGCCCCCTGTACAGCCTGGGGCCCCCTCGCACAGTCCGGGGGGCCCCCTTTCAAGACCTGGGGGCCCCTTTTAAAGACCTGGGGGCCCCTAGGGCCTCCTACCCTGGGCCGTGGGTACAAAGGCACAGAAGGGGGCCCCCAGGCTCTTGCTGGGGGCCCCCTTTTGTGCAATTGACCCGAAAAACTTTTTTATGTGGGGCCCCACAGGCCAAAAGGCCTTTCCCCATTTTCGAATTTTTGCTTGTTTGTTCGAGTGTATGTACACCGCACGCGGGAGCACAAGTCCTGCAGAAGCAACTGTGGCGCTTCTGCCTACGGTAGTCTAGATAGCAGCAGCAGCAGCAGCAGCAGCAGCAGTAGCCGCAGCAGCAGCAATGGCAGCAGCCGGAACAAAAGTAATAAGCGAGCTAAAAATAAGGAGGATCTGGTACAGAGAAACGAAACGCAGCAGCGGCTGCAGCAGTGGCTGCAGCAGCGGCTGCAGCAGCAGCTGCAGGCGCAGTTGCTGCAGCAGCAGCGCAGCAGCTGCTGCTGCTGACACGAAGGCAACGCTTTCCGTTGCCCGCTAAAAAGTCCAAGGAGGCGCTTCATTGCAGACAATTTGATCACGGGTAGCTAGCCAGCTAGCTACCCAGGCAGCTAGCTGGGTAGACAACTTGAACGCGGCTAGCTAGCCAGCTAGCTAGCTAGCTGGCTAGCTAGCTAGTTAGCTAACGCTGCATGGCCAGCGAACTGCATCGCCCTCGGGCTGGCCGTCTTCGGAATTAGGGGAGTTGTGCGGCCGCAGCAGCAGCAGCAGCAGCAGCAGCAGGGGAGGCCGCTGCTGCTGCTGCTGAACTTCGCAAAGCAGCTGCTGCGCAGGCAAGGCTGGTCTTCTTGCTGCTGCTGTCAATGCTGCTGCTGGTCCTCGCTTAAGAATTTGTTCAGAGCTGCCAGCTGCTGCAGCGCAGCAGGGTGCAGCGACCCCTGTGTCTCCTCTGTTGCTGCGGGGGCCCCCAGGGGGGCCCCCTGGGGGCCCCAAGCATCATCCTGCGCATGCACGGGGCCCTCAGCGAAACCTGAATCGCCACTGAAAGCGACGGGCTTGTGCTGCTGCTGCTGCTGCTGTTGCTGCTGCTGTTGCTGCTGCTGCTGGGCGTGGAACTGCTGCTGCACGTGGGCGTTCTGGAGCTGCTGGTGCTGTTGCTGGGCGTGGAACTGCTGCTGCACGTGGGCGCCCTGGAGCTGCTGCTGCTGCTGCTGCGGTTGGTGCTGCTGCTGCGGCTGGTGCTGCTGCTGCAGTTGGTGCTGCTGCTGCGGCTGGTGCTGCTGCTGCTGGTGCCTGAGCAAAACGGTTTCCGTCTGTTCCTGTTCCCAGCGGAAGTGCTGCTGCTGGTCGGCCTGGGGGTGCAGCAGCAGCTGCTGCTGCTGCTGCTGCCAGTCCTCGTCCTGGACGTGCAGCGGCAGCTTGCTGCTGCGCTGCAGCCGCAAATTCAGCTGCTGCTGCAGCCACTCAGCAAAGGCCCGGTGGTCCAGCCCATAGTTAAACCAGAGGCTGCGGTCCCGCGCGTACAGCCAGCGCTTGTTGCCGCTCACTTCCCACTCAGGCACCACCTGCAGCAGCAGCAGCAGCAGCAGCAGCAGCAGCAGCAGCAGCAGACGCAGCAGCAGCAGGATGAGGCTATGGGCAGAGATGCTCAGTGGCTTGCACGGCAGCTACGCAGGCAGTTTCAGGTGGCTGTCTAGACACCCAAATAAATGCATGCATTTCGATTTAAATGAAAATAACGAAAATGTAAAATATATAAATTATGAAATTATAAACAAATATGAATGTATATATTTAAGTGGATGCATGCATGCATTTGTTTATTCACTTTTTGATATGCATGCAAATCATTCGTGCATGCACAAAGATCTATTTGAGGCATTTAGAAAAAGAAAAGTGGAATTGAATGAGCAGAAAGAAAAAAGAAATTTATTTCTCAGATATTCATATTCAGCTGCATGCAGGCGAGAGACTCTGACAAAAAGACCTTGAAAGGCCCTTCAAAACGAATAAATTGCAAAAGTTTAAATGAAATAAATGCAAAAAGTGCAAATAATGCAAAAAGTGGAAATAGCGAGATATACGGCTAGGTGTCTGTACACTCGAAAAACTTTGCATTCCCACGGCTTGAGCCACAGTGCCTTTTTTCACGAATTTTCGCGCAAAAAACCTCAAAAAGGGTCGTTTGAAGCCCCTTAAGAGTTATAATTGTCTTTATCTTTGTTTTATATTTATATTTAAGTTTAATTCCCATATTTAATTCCAAGTTTCCGCAAAAAGCGCATGCAAACAGCCAAGTTCGGCCCAGCGGCGCAGCCTGGGCGGGATTCTGCAGCCATTGTGCACGGAAACTCGTGCAAGTAAAAAGTGGAAAAAGGAACTTTTGCAAATTAATTTGAGATTATTAATTTGAAATGAACAAATAAATATAAATAAACAAATATAAATTCCAAATTCTGCAAAAACAGACCTTTTTCGCGAGCCACGCGGCTTCCGGAGAGGAAGAATGCAACTGCATGCATGCAATTTATGTTCTATTCAAATGCACAAGCATCCCTGCTGCTGCTGCTGCTGCTGCTGCTGCTGCTGCTGCTGCTAACTAGTCACCTCTTTTGCTGCAGTAGCCGCAGCACAAAGGGCCTGGGGGTCCTGCGGGGCCTGCTGGTGGCTTTTAGCTGCTGTTGCTGCTGCTGCTGCTGCTGCCTGCAGCAAGAAGCAAAGACACCCTGAGGCCTAGGAAAGTGTGCAGAGTAGAAGACACAACTTAACATTAAATGCAGCAGCAGCAGCACTTGATTGATTTCCTGCTGCAGCTCCTGCTGCAGCAATTCAGCAGCGCTGTAGCAGCTAGGGGTTGAGGTTAAGCAGCAGCCGCAGCAGCAGCAGCTGCTGCTGCTGCTGCAGGTGCGCAGCAGCTGCAAGGGGATTAGTTGCTGCTGCAGTACCACTGGCTCTGCTGTGGACGGGGTGAAGACAGCATCTCCCAAAACATCCTCTATGTCGTCAGCTGCTGCTGCTGCTTCTGCTGCTGCTGCTGCTGCTGATTTCTTTGCAGGGGGAGACACGGAGGCCCCAGAGGGAACAGATGAACGCTTTGATGGAGGCAGCTGTGCTGCTGCTGCTGCTGCTGCTGCTGCTGCTGTGCTGTCTCCCTCAGGGATAAATGTTGCTGTAACTCCATCGAGGCCGTCGCCCACTATGACCTGCAACAGAAGCAGCAGCAGCAGCAGCAGCAGCAGCAGCAAGAGCAGCAACAGCGGCAGCAGCAGGTGCAGCAGCAGCAGCAACACAGCACAGCCACACAAATGGGGAGAATGCGCGCAGAGAGATTTTCGGTGCATCGGACGTGCCAGCAAAAACAGCAGCAGCAGCAGCAGCAGCAGCAGCAGCAGCAGCAGCAGCAGCAGAAACGGACCTGAATATCATCGTCTGCCGAATCTGTCACCCTGTTCCTATCCATGATGCAGTGTTAATTAGTCTTCTCTTTTTCTCCCCTCCTTATATTTTCTTTATTTGTGTGCAGTTCTTTGGCTATGCTGCTGTTGCTGCTGCTGCTGCTGCTGCTGTTGCTGCTGCTGCTTCTGCTGCTGCTGCTGCAGCTTAGGGGACTCAGTGCTGCTATAGGGGCTGCGAGCCCGAAGATCTTCGCTCAGCTTTGAGGCTCCACAAGTTTCTTGGTGTATAAAGAACGCTGCTGCAGCAACTGCTGCAGCAGCAGCAGAAGCTGCTGCTGCTGATGGTTGTGCTGCTGCTGCCTCCTCTGCCGCTGATGCTGCTGTTGCTGCCGCTGCAGCTTTGGAAGATCCAGGGCCACTACACTTTACTGCTTTGCCTTTTTCCTCTATAAAGGCTGCTGAAGCTTCTCCTTCGGCTGCTGCAGCAGCTTTGCATCTGCTGCTGTTGCTGCAGCAGCAGCTGCTGCAGCAACTCTGCGTTTCGGGTCTTTATCTTGCTGCTTTTTGCAGTTTAAGCAGCAGAAAAAACACAAATTAAGCAAATTTTGTCTCTTTCTCTTGTTGCAACGTCTGCTGCTGCCCTGCATGCAGCTTGTGGGTCCCGGGGGCCCCCCGGGTCACGGGGGCCCCGGGGCCCCGGGGCCCCGTGGGCCAGCTAGGGTCACTGAAATGCAGCACTGATTTGCTGAGGCAGCAGAAAAGATAAGAAATGAGTAATAAAGAAGTCCAGTGCAGCAGCAGCTGCGTGTAGCAGCAGCAGACACAGCAGCTGGAGCCTTCTTGGGGGCCCCCCGGAGTTCTTGGGGGCCCCCTCTCGGGGGCTCCTCCTTGGGAAACTCTCTGTGGGGGCCCCCTAGGGGCCCCCTTCGAATTAAAAGTTAAAAGGTTATTGTCAACTCTGAGGCACTGGATGAGGGTATAGGGGCAACTGCGTGGGGATTAGTTTAAGAAGCAGCTAGCTAGGTATCAGTAGCTAGCTAGCTAGCTGGCGGCTAGCCAGCCAGCTGCAGCTCGCCAAGTAGCTCGCTAGCTACAAGGGGAAGTAGCTAGCTAGCCAAACAGTCCAGCAGCGGCTCAACACACATCTAGCCACACAGCGACGCCGCTAACGACTAGCCAGCTAGCCACTCTGCACGCTAGCTAGCTAGCTAGCCGGCCATCTGGCTAGATAGCTAGCTAGCTAGCTGGGTGGCTAGCCAGATAGCTAGCTAGCTACGTAGCTGGCTAGCTAGCTAGAGGGCTAGCTAGCTAGCTAGCTAGCTAGCTGAACAATTGAAGCACAAACCCCTAGCTAGCCAGGTATGCATTATGGGGCCCTATAAGCCAGCAGAGGCTCATATTGTATTAGGCTGAGCTCAGCGCTCAATAAAGTCTTAAAGAATAAAATCACAAACAAAGCCTTAAAGCTTTTGCTGCTGCTAACTGGCAGAGTTGGGGCTGCAGCAAATGCTGTCCGTGCTGCTGTGCTGCACCCGGCGAGCGGCGCAGCAGCAGCAGCTGCTGCAGCGAAAGGCGCTGCCGAAGCAGCAGCAGCAACGCTGCAGCAGCAGCAGCAGCAACTCAAAGACGAACTTGTGAACGCTTCTTTTTGCTGCCTTTGAGGGCCCACAAATTCAAAAGCTCCTCCCGAGCTTCTGGATGCAGCAGCTTCGCGGATTGCAGAGGCGGCACCACAGCCCCCACCCTCACATCCACCTGCAGCAGCAGCAGCAGCAGCAGCAGCAGCAGCAGCAGCAGCAGCAGTAGCAGCAGAAAGCGCGGACGGGTCAAAATCTGCTGTAGGCGGCCAATGCTTTTCCAGAAAAGCAAAGAAATAAGCGGGAGTGTGGCTTTCTTAAGGAGCTTCGGGGGCTCCGAAGCAGCAGCAGCAGCAGCAGCAGCAGCCGCTGCTGCTGCTGCTGGAAGAGGAACAGCAGCAGCAAAAGCCAGGCAACAAACGAACAACAAATGCGGCTTAGACGAAAAACCCGGGGAGGCGCAGCAGCCAATGTATCAAAATATCCCAAACAGCAAAAAAAACAAATTAAAAAAAGAAAGAAAATGACAAAAAGATGGAAAGATCGGAGCAGCAAAAGGAAAAAAGCTACAGCAAGCAGCAGCGCAGCAAAACTTACTCGGGGGGCTATTAGCCGGCGGTGAGCAGCAGCAGAATTCCACTCGGGCCCCACAGGCTGCTTCACTTGTGCTGCATATTCTTCGGGGCTCATGTACTTGGGCAGCTACAGCAGCAAAACACGCAAACTTCTTGCTGCTGCTGCTGCTGCTGCTGCTGCTGCTGCTGCTTCGCAGTGGGCGCTGCATTGTCGGCTGATGAGACCCAGCAGCAGCAGCAGCAACGCGTACCTGAGACACGAAGTATTTGCTGCTCTTCTTATCGTCTTTAGTGTTAATAATGACAAGGGGCTTCGTTTTCTTGGCTGCTGCTGCTGCTGCAGCTGCAGCTGCTGCAGCTGCTGCTGAATCTTTCTTCTTTTTTTGCTGCTTCACGCCCGCGCCCACCCACGAGCCCCATCCCGGCAGCAAACTTGCTGCAGACACAAAGCACAGCAGCAGCAGCAGCAGCAGCAGCAGCCCCTGCACGAGTTTTCGTGCAAATTTGCTTCCCTGCATGCAGCACGTTTGCTGCTGCGCATGCACAGTGCATGCACGCAAGAAACACTTTGCTTCGCATGCAACCGCATGCATGCAGCTCCAAAAGCCCTGCATCTTCGTTTCTGCATGCTGCTGTGCTGCTGTGCATGCACAAGTGCTGCTGCGCATGCATGCTGCTGCGCATGCTGCAGCGCTTGCTGCTGCGCATGCTGCTGCGCATGCAGTGTGGGGTGCTGCAGTCTTACAGTCTTCTTCTCCCTTTTCTGCTTTTTCTTCTGCTTCCGCCTCCGCCAGAAATTGCTGCTCTTCATCTCCTGTTACAAATGCCTGCTGCACCAACAGGCTCTGCTCCTCCTCCCTTTGCTGCTGCTTCTGCTGCTTCTGCCGCTGTTTCTGTTTCTGCTGCTGCTGCTGCTGCTGCTGCTGCTGCGGGTCCTGGTCTTGCTGTTCCAGCTTACGCTTCGTGCGCCCCCCAGCTGCTGCTTCCTCTGTTGCAGCAGCAGCAGCAGCTGGAGATACGCTTTGGAGCTGCAGCACAGCAGCGACACAGCAGCAGATGCAACGACTGGAATGCAGCAGCAGCAGCAGCAGCAGCAGCGGCAGCAGCAGCGGCGGCGCGGTGACTGCAGCAGCAGCGAAGACACAGTAGCAGCAACAAAGGCATTCTGAAAACTTACAAAGTCTTGCAGGCCATCCTGAAGCGTCTTCGGCGGGCCCGAGTTTTCGGCAGCAGCAGCAGCAGCAGCAGCAGCAGCAGATGCTCCTGATTCCTTTTTATTGCTGGCCTTTGTGCTGCTTTTTTGCTGCTCCAGCCACGGATTGCTGCTCTGCTGCTGCTTCTGCTCTTTTCTTTTTTGCTGCTGCTGCAGCTTCAGGCTTGCCTCAGCTTCCGCCTGCATGTCTGCTGCCACAGCTGCATACTGCTGCTGCTGCAGTTCCTTTCGTTTCTGCTGCTGCTGCTTCTGGTCCTCCTGCTGCTGCTTCAAGGTGCGCTGCAGCAGCGCGACTGCTGCCTTCGTTGACTTTGTTGGGTCTTCTTCTTCCCCGTCTGCTTCTGCTGCCTCGTCTTCCTGCTGCTTCACTTCTTGCTGCTGCTGCTGCTGCTGCTGATCTGCTGCTGCTGCTGCCTTCTTCGCTCCCACACTGTCATCGATAAGGGCCTCCATGCCTCCTTCTTCCAGCAGCGAGGCCACGAGGGTCTCTGCTTGCTGCAGCTGCTCCTTGTCAACTTTGGGGGGTGTGGGAGCAGCAGCAGCAGCAGCAGCTGCTGCTGCTTCAGCTTTCTTGCGCTTCCTTTCCTGCTTGGCAGCAGCCACGCGGAGTTTTGCTGCCTTTGCTGCTGCGCCGCTGCTGCGCTCTGCAGCAGCATTGCCTTCTGTTTCTGCGTCTTCCGCCTCGCTGGCCTCGCTGCTGCTGCTGCTGCTGCTGCTGATGTCGGGCTCCGCCTCGCTCCCGCTGCTGCTGCTGCTGCTGCTGCTGCTGGGGATGCCTGCTTCTCGCCTCTGCCTCCTACGCTCGATCTTCTGCTGCAGTGCTGCTGCTTCTTGCCTGGCCTTTTCCATTCCTTTTCTCACAAAAGGAAGAGCAAACAGGCCTTTGTTCGGCAGCTCTGCTGCTGCCTCATCCCCTGCAGCAGCTGCTGCTGCTGCTGCTCGCAGCACCTTCAGCTTCTCCCCTGCTGTTTGTGGGGCCTCCAGCTCCTCCTCAGAGCCTTCTTCGCTCTCGAGGCCTTCACTTCCCTCGCTGTCTGCAGCGCAGCAGCAATCCACCAGCCGCAGTAGCCTCAGCAGCAACAGCAGCAACAGCAGCAGCAGCAGCAGCAGCAGCGGCAGCGCCCGCCAGCATACCCGCCATTTGTGCTGCTGACTCACCGTCGTTTTGCTGCTGACCCTTCACAGCTTTTTCCAACGCCCGGCGCTCATCCAGCCCGCGCTGCAGCACAGCAGCAGCAGCAGCAGCAGCAGCAACTTCCGGCACATCTGCTGCAACTACAGCAGTGGCAGCAGCGCTAGCTACAGCAGCAGGTGCAGCGGGAGCAGCAGCCGCGGCAGCAGCAGCTGCTGCTGCAGCAACAGCGAACTCTGCCGTATAGGAAAAGAAATGAGCTGGTGAGGCTTCAGTCTTCTAAGGCTGTAAAGCTGTGGGTGTGTGGGCAACGACGTAGCAGGGTTTAGGGTTTAGGGTTTAGGGTTTAGGGTTTAGGGTTTACTTGTTGCTGCCTGCTGATCTCCGCCTGCATGTCTTTGCCTCCGAACCTGCTGGCGAGTCTGGCCCACTTGGTTCTGGCTTGCTGCTGCCTGAGCAGCCGCTGCTTGGCGTGCTGCTGCTGCAGCTGCTGCAGCAGCTGCTCCGCCAGCTCCGGGTTTTCCTGCTGCAGCCTCTCCAGCAGCTGCTGCTGCTGCCGCGCCTCCACCTGCCGCCGCTTCCGCCGCCCCTCTTTCGACTTCACCCGCTTCAGCCGGTGCAGCCGCCGGTGTTCTTGCGACAGCAGAAACCGCAGCCGCGCAGCTTGCTGCTGCTCTTGCTGCAGCAGCAGCAGCAGCAGCAGCAGCGGACACGCACGCAGGGGGCCTCCGCGTCACGCCAGGGTCGTCCATCAGCAGCAGCAGCAGCAGCAGCAGCAGCAGCAGCAGCAGCAGCAGCAGCAGCAGCAGCAG